TGCTCTCTTTATCTCATTTATTATTGCTTGGAATCTAAAAATTGGGAACATGCTTACCTCCCCCACATCCTTCTTGTCTCTTTCCTCAAGCCAATATGCTAGCATTCCAGGAAACTTTTGGAAATTTATGTTGTTTAAACTGCTGTTAACTTAATGTACAAAAGAACCTTTGTTGAGACTTGAGCTATTTCATCAAGTTTTGTTTTGTACGCTAATGTTTTCCAATTGAAAAGGTTTAGCTTGACAGTTAAATAATTATTGGTTATGTATTGTTTACTTTTAGTCAAACAAACAAAAAATGAATGATTGTTATTGTTTGTGAAATGACAATGGATAATTAATGTTACAATCTTCTTTTCTTTCAGTATACCCCTGCTATAGACATATGGAGCATTGGCTGCATTTTCGCAGAACTTTTAACCGGGAAACCTCTTTTCCCAGGAAAGAATGTTGTCCATCAATTAGACCTCATGACTGATTTTCTTGGAACACCCTCTCCTGAAGCCATTGCTAGGGTCTGTTGTTCATTTGCCAATCCTTCTAGCAAATTTATGTCCTTCATTTTTTTGCTTAATATAGCCTTGGAAGTATATTAACAGGTACGGAATGAGAAAGCTCGAAGATACTTGAGTAGTATGCGCAAGAAGAAGCCAGTTCCTTTCTCTCAAAAGTTTCCCAATGTAGATCCCCTTGCTCTTCGGGTTTTAGAAAGAATGCTGGCATTTGAACCTAAGGATCGACCTACTGCTGACGAGGTTAAATTTCCATCCATCTTTTAACTTTCCACACATCATGATTAGTTTTAATCAGAATACTGTGTATGATTTAATTAGGCTCTAGCAGATCCATATTTTAAAGGCTTGGCCAAAGTTGAGAGAGAGCCTTGTTCTCAGCCAGTTACCAAGATGGAGTTTGAATTTGAGAGACGTAGAATAACAAAGGAAGACGTGCGAGAGCTTATATACCGAGAGATTCTGGAATACCATCCAAAGATGTTAAAAGAACATCTAAACGGAGAAGAGCCAACAGGATTCATGTATCCAAGGTACTGTTGTCCGAACTTGCACCGAAATTTCTATTTCACTTCTCACTCCTTTGCTCAAGTATGCTTGACAATATATTTAAATTCAACATGGAGTGATATACTATATAGCAATCAAATAATAACGTTTGGTCAGCCTTTTTGTTCTTCTTCTCCACTTCTTCTGCATTTGCTCCTTCTTCTAATGATTTCCGTGTTTACCATAAGATAGAATTTTTTTCCTCCTTCAACCAAATTATTCTTATGTTGTTCTGCTTTAGATCCTCAACCATCCTAAACACTTCCTTTGGATACCTACTTTTAATGTTGTTAATGAATACTTTTTAAAACTTTACCTGGAGTTTATATTTGTTGAAATATAATATTAACTGCAGTTTCATGCTTATATAGTCATGTAAACTTTCAATCCTACTTTACATAGTACATCACTTCAGCATTTTTTATATGCTAACACGTCTTTCAAATAGTGCCGTGGACCATTTCAAAAAACAATTTGCATATCTTGAAGAGCATTATGGAAAAGATGGAACTGTTACTCCACCTGAGAGGCAACATGCATCATTACCCAGGTATCCTAATTTTTATTAATGGTTCTGAAAACATGGCTTTTCTCTTTCACGATTGCTTCTTTATATTTATTTTCTCTTGAACTGCACGCCAACTGTGCTGATTTGAGACTGTAAATGCAGGCCATGTGTGTTGTATTCAGATAACGAAAGGCAAAATATGGCAGTGGTTGCGGATGATCTCTCCAAGTGTAGCATCAAAGAAGTTGAGAAGCCAGCAATAGACAAGACCGGTGGTATCCCAATGACCAGGCTTCCTTTACCAGCTCCTCAAAATATTAAAGGTCTGATGACTAATTGTAGTATGTATTTTGCTTTTTCATTTCCCTTTCTTTCCTGATCTCATATATGTGCAAGGCAGACATTGTCTTCAAAGAGTGTGTGCTCGTTGTTGAGGCTTTTTTCTTTTTATTCATTGGCTTTTTACATACCCAATAAGAAGTATGTTTCTGGTAGTGTGAACTTGTTCTTGCTTCTGTCACATGATGGGGAGTTATCTGTGAATGGCTGAAAACAGTAGGACTTGTATTACTGAAATAGATTTGTGGGTTTTTTGAGATTCTTTTGATGAGTGTATTTCAAGCTTACTTATTTCTAATTTGGTTCACATGTCTCAGGTGTTGCTGCACGTCCAGGAAAAGTTGTAGGTTCAGTACTGCATTACAACAACAGTGGGGTGGCCGGGACTGAGCAGCGGAAGACGGGTAAAAACTCATCTGTTTCAGCCAAGTATGCTGCTCAAAGCTGTTCATATCCAAGAAGAAACCCAAACTGTAAAATTGAGAGGGCAGTTGAAGGAATTGAAGGTGCTAATGGACTTCAGACAAAGCCTCAATATCTAGCACGCAAAGTTGCTGCTGCTCAAGGGGGACCTGGTGGTAGTTGGTATTGATTTTGGGAATGTTGAATTTATGCCCTGCAATTGCCTTGTGCCATCATATTTGAGTTTGTTGTTCATACAGAACCAGATCAATCAATCATCTGAATTGAACAAAGATACGAGTGGCCGTAGCATCAACAACATCAATCAGTGAGAGAGCTAAAGGGATTATAATCTAAAGAAGTCTCCAGCTGATGTTTTATTAGATCTTGCGTTTTGCTTCACCAATTTGAAGTCTGGAAGGTTCAACATGGTGCAATTCTTTCTGTCTCGTTCGTTACCAACAGAGAAGGAATGATCTGAAAAACATGGAATGAAGGCAATGCAGCTACTGGTGCTGCTAATTTGTGGTGTTCACTTGCAGAATATAAGTGCTTTGTATTGTCTTGGTCAAACAATCCCATCTTTCTATGTTTCTTCAGGTCAGGTTTGAGGCTGACTCTCTTCCAATGGAAGAGTTTAATTAATAATTTGTATCCTTAATTGTTAATTGAATGAAATATCGTAAACTGTTTTAAATTTAATTATATATGTATAAAATTATTACTATCAAGTAAAGATTTGATAAAGATTAAATAATTATAAAAATGATTAAACATGTTGATTCAGTAAAGTTGAGAATTGTATATCCTACAGTGTATTATATTGCATGAACGAAATTATATAAAGAAAAAAAAATGTGTAATTAAAATTCTGATGATGAGAAACTTACCTTGAAAATATCAGTAAAATATGTGAATATCGAACATGTTAAATTATTAAAAGAATATGAAAGTTTTTTTTTTCAAAAATCAAGATTTCTTTAAACAAATTGAAATTAAGAGAGTAAAAGAAAATAGATAAAATAAATGTTTTATGTTATTTATTAAACTAAGGATTTAACAATTTAAACAGTTTCACTTAGTATCAAACATTATCATGTTAAAAATAAATAAAAAATATAAAAAATAAGCAGAAATAATCAAATATATCTCTTTAAAGTTATTTAATTCAATAAAATTGAGATTTTTGTTTTGTAAAATGCACAATACATTATTTAAACAAAATTAAAAAAATTAAATTATGATTAAGATTGAAATAAGAGAAAATATGATAAAAGTTTGAGTTTTTAAAATTTTAAGCCTATAACTAAGATATAAAAAAGGAAAATTGTGTAGAAAAAAAATTATAAAATTAAAGACTATAGAAAATATCAATGAGTTTTTGAAGCTCGTTAGCGAGCTACAATTATTTTAATAATTTAAAACGTAAAATATGTATGAGATATTGGCATAAACACAGTATAAATATATAAATAGTCATCTTCATCCTTATATCAATTTAAAATGCTGAACATTATATTAATATTGAAAATTTTCATTAAAATTAGGATAAGTTTGATTAATCAATATCTATAAAACATATTTATTTCTTTAATATTTTATGACAATTGTTTGATGAAAGAAGCTGATTAGAAACTAATATAAGATCGGGAACTAAATTAAAAATAACTTATAAATCTAACTGTAAATTGTGGAATAATTTAGAGACCTTCAAAATAATTCAACTTATTATCACTATTATTCAAGATTTGAGTAAACGAAATAATAAACATTAAATATGTTTCCAGTTCAAAACTAATCCTTGTTAAGAAAAACTAATAGTATTTAAGATTTGCAAAAGTAAAACCCAATCATTGATAAAATAATATAAATATGAAAATAAAATAAAACAAAGTTACATTATTTTATATTGTTTATATTCTACCTTGAAATTAATAATTAGGTTTTATGAATTTCATTTGGTATGATCAACATCTATTTCTGAATATGATTTAGAAATGAAAAAAAAAAGTTGTTTCATGATAACCATTTGACTCATGTAGGAATAAAATAATTATAAAAAAATATTTGTAAAGAAAGAGAGAAAGTTAAATGTAACGTACTGTAATATTAAATGGGTGTAAGAAAATTTTAGATGTCAAAACATTATTGTGATTTCGTAAATATAAATAAATATATTAAATCAAGTTTGGTCTAATCAATGGCTATAAACAGTTTGGGATGAATTTGAAATGATCACAGCCAGTATTCCCAAATCTGGTGCATAAAATGGTACCACGCATGAACAGCCTAATCACAAAATTTATGTATTATATTGACATCTTCTTACATTAATTTAAGTAAAATTAAATATCTATTTTAATAATTTACACAATTTAACACCAATATTTATATTACACTTATTAAAATTAAGCGATAGGTTCAATAAAATGATGGTGTAGAGAAACATTTATAGTACGATAACTTTAAATTTTGTCTTATTTTATTTGTAGTTTGAATCGCATTAATGTATCCAACCGTATACTCCAAGGTTTATGCCCCAATGACACGGCCTGATTAGTAACTTGCAATCCACAAACAGGAAATTCGGCAGTGCTGTATATTAACAAAATGTTTGATTAGGTTTCTTCTAAGGAAGAAATTGGCATGGAAAGAGTCAAATGGCAATTATTTTGAGGATGTGTACTATGTCACATAATAATGTCACACAGTATGTCCATAATTTCATGCTTTATCCAAATGATGTTTGCTAAAGTTCTAATATGAAACCTTGAGGAAATTTAGCAAAGAAAGCAACGTTAACCCTTTGGACAAGTTAGTGGGCAGAAAGAAAAGCTTGAAGTTACTCTTATCATGCCATACCACACCATGAGCGTGCCCCCAAAGCTTGCCATTCTCATTCTTGTATAAAACTCTCCTTCTGTCATCACACTTCTATAAAACTTTCATTATATATCACATCATCTTTTGTCAACCTTCAACAAATTCAGTGGTTGCATATTGCAGCTAGCTTTCATGTACAATGGAAGGAGAGGGAAGCATTCATGTACAAGTGGATGAACTCCAAATGGTGAGGCTCAGCGAAACCATCAGCATAGGCACCACCATGTTTGAGCCTCGTGGCCTCAGCAGCATAGACAAGTTTGACAGTAACAGCACTGTCAATTCTGTCTCTCCAACAACCTCAGCACCGGAAAAGAAGCTCACCCTTTTTGCCCTCCAGCTTGCAGTGCTTGAAAAAGCAGCCACCGGGTTGGGAACTCTCGGTTTCATATGGGCAACCGTTGTCCTTCTCGGTGGTTTCGCCATCACCTTAGAAAAAACCGACTTCTGGTTCATCACCATCATCCTTGTTGTTGAAGGAACCAGGATTTTCAGCAGGAGCCATGAACTTGAATGGCAGCACCAAGCCACATGGTCTATCACTGAGGTAGTGGTAATCCCCTTCACAAAAAGCAATACTTTTAGAGATTTTTAAAATTAATAAAGTATTCTATCTTTCGTTAAAATATGTATGTATTTATGAATAGACATCACTGAAAATATATGCTTGGTTGTTGGTAAGTAAATCATATCAATAAACTCTAGCATACTGCAAAGACTTTGCTAGTACACATCTTTTTGCATCCAATTTGTATCGAGATATATAAAAGACTGAAGCTTTCCCGTGTTAAAAGCTTGTGTTCTTTTTTTAGCATTTGCTTTCAATTGGAATACCATAACTACTAATATTTTTTTGCTTTGATATTTCTCATTTGATTCAGAACCATCACCACCAATATGTCGCAGCTGATGCTACCCCAACAAGGACACCAACTAGGATGTGGGTTAGCTCAGATGTTCCACTCCTACCATATGCTAAATGGTTTTTCCTTTCAAGGCATGTTAGTAGGCTTCTCTATTGGCTACAGCTTCTTTCTGCAACGGCTTGTGTGGTTCTCTCGTTAATAAAGCTCGTGATGCATAACTACGGAGAGGTGGCAAAGGGAGACACTGACAAGAGGAACCGCAAATCAGCTCTTTCCATCTTCTATGCGTTGGCTCTTGCAGAAGCTCTGTTGTTTCTGATGGAAAAGGCCTATTGGGAGTGGCAAGTCAGCTATTGCAAGCTGTTGGAAGAGGTTAACAAGGAGTGTGAGTTGGGGCCACGGGGAATGGTGTCCACTAGAAGGTTCTTCTATGATGCCTATTCAAGATGTGTCAATGGAAGCATATTTGATGGCTTGAAAATGGATATGGTGAGTTTCTCTATGGACTTGTTGGCTTCTAACTCACCTGATGAGCAGCTCATTGGAGCAAGAATTCTTAGACAGTTTTCAGTCAGTGAAAGATTTTCTGATGATACCCTTCAAAAGATTGGAATTGATATATCAGTGGCGGAGAGACTAGTTGAGATGTTGAATTGGACAGACCCTAAGGAGGAAGAGATTAGGCTCTCGGCTGCAGAGATTTTGTCAAAATTAGCTGGCAAAAAGCAGAACTCTCTCCGCATAGCTGGAATACCAGGAGCAATGGAATCAATATCATCCCTTTTGAAAACTAATAGGAGTGTAATTCCTGCAGCTGATGAGATAGGGGAAAAGAAACTTGTATTTGATCACCAATATTATGGGTTCTGTACATTTAACCAATTGGGACTCCTCATACTCAAAAAACTTGCACGTGATCTTGACAACTGTGGAAAGATTGGAAACACAAGGGGCCTTCTTCCAAAGATCATAGACTTCACACATGCTGAAGAATGGTTGCTGAAGAGTGAAAATGTTACTTCAACGCAAGTCGTAACCGTGAAGAGATCTTTGCAACTGGTGAAGATGTTGGCTAGCACTGTTGGCACTACTGGGAAATATCTTCGAAGAGAGATTTCAGAGATAGTTTTCACCATCAGCAATATTAGAGACATTTTGAGACATGGAGAGAAGCATCCTCTTCTACAGAAACTGGGCATAGAAATTTTGACCAGCCTGGCATTGGAAGAGGATGCAACGGAAAGAATAGGGGGCACTGGTGGAGTGCTTAAAGAACTTTTCAACATTTTTTTCAGGCACAACATACCAGAAAATCAGAAACATATAAAAATTGTTGCGGGTGAGGCCCTTGCAATGCTGGTTTCGGAAAGCAAGAATAACTGCCATCGAATTTTGAAGTTGAGAGTACTAGAAAGGCTCGAAGAAGCATTGAAAGATCCATTGCTTCGGGTCAATGCAGCTAGAATTCTAAGAAATTTATGCACCTACAGTGGACCAGAATTGTTCAACCAGCTAAAGGGGGTAACAACTGCAGCACCAATAGTAAGTGTTAATCTCTGACCATTGTTATTATTTGAAGCGATCATTAGTGTTTTGGTTTTGCTAAGATAAATTTCTCCATAAACACAATTAAAATAAAATAAACTTATACAACTTTAGAGAAGCTAGGATGAGGTACTTTTTGACGTTCATGAGTTTACTTTTCATTTTTCATTGCTGCAGATACTTAAGGCGATCATGTCAGAAGAAAACAAGATACAAGAAATGATGATTGGACTAGCTGCAAATGTTTTCAGATACATGACTACTCATGAATCAAGCATTGTATTTGAAGAAGCTGGAATCACCGAGGTTGAACTAGCAAACAAATTAGTCCAGATTCTGAAGAAACACAAGTATCCCCCAACCAAGGTCCCAAGGATAAGGAGGTTCGTGATAGAGTTGGCTATTTGGATGATGAAAGACAAATCAGAAAACATAGACACCTTCAAGGGAATGGGAATGGAAGCGGTGTTGGAGGATGTCTTAGAGACCACATCGGAGCTTGAAAGCTTTAATGTTTTCTCCGGCACAGTTGGACTTAACCGGCACAATATAACAACTCAGTCACTCGTTGACATGGCACTGAAATTGATGGAAGATAGGTAAACCATCATGGACCATATTACTACAGTACAAAATCAGTTATCCATGTTAGCCTAGTGACACTAATGTTGCCTGTGTGTGGATAAACTAAACTGCTGTAGATTCTCCAAAGGACAAGCATGTTTGCTGCGGCTGAAAAGAACTTATTCATTGATTTTCCAGATTCAATGTTGAACTTGAAATAAATTATTGACATTTTACTTCTTATGCCTGCATGCTTTCTCTGAAACAATACGAAGTTATAACTTCAATTATGAAGGATCCATTTTGACCAAACTCGAAATTATGGGGCTTTTCTTAGCTCAACTAAGGCTTCCAGTTACATGGATTTCAAATGTTTTGGCGCTGTAGTTAAGGATGCTAATAAAATTATCGCATGAAAACATCTCGGGAGAAAAAAATGACATAGCAATCATGGAAAATTTTGCAGTCTGTTTCCTCGTATAAAAAACAGAAAATATTAAAGTGGAGTCAATGTAATAAATGTCAATGACATCACAGAAGCCTCCAAATAACTCCAATAATGCAGCTCTCAGTCCCGGTTGTCCAGGACATTTACGTCAGGATAGCATACCTTTGCATAAACTGTTCTGCGACCTCTCTGAAAGCAAATCTTTGTCGCACACTCATAAATTAAAGGTGAAAAATAACTTGGAAGTATTGAATTATTTGTAAATATTTAAATAAGTTTTGATATTCATAGAGTTTGAATTAAGCTTAGTTACTTTTAATTAAATCTATGATTAGGATTTCTTTAAGATTCCATTAAGTGTCCTAAAATAATTCAAGAATTTACAAAATAATTAGATTAGCCAATTGATTTTAAATTATTTGAAATATCTTAATCAAACATGTATAGTTGACAAAACCCTAACAAAACATAAACACATCTGAAGCGAATCAACACTTGATGGGAAGGAAAGACGAGAGCATCCAGAATATTGTTCAAATACTGAGTACAATGGAGAGAATGTTTCCCATTTAAAGTCATAGGCAGCAAAATATGACAAATCTCACTTACAGTCAAAGAATATTGTTTGATTTGTTAGTTGAGAATCTAAACATAACAAATTTACACACGAGCACCTATTTCTTTGGTACAAACTATGAATTTTTTTTTAGTTACAGAAACAACGTATAAATGAGAATCAATCATCTTATCATAATGGCTGTGGCTATTTGTTTTTGAAAAAATTGAAATCCCAACGACGCATTAAGCCGTCCATGGCATGGCCTGGGGGATTCCTGACAACAGTTACTGTGGCTTTTGTATTGTGCGATATGTCAGTCTCTGATGAACTTTTCAAACTACCAGAACTGCTGCTATGAGCAGAATCACTTGTGTTGCTGGACTCAATTACTGATGATGTGCCTGTTGATGCTGGCGGCAGTGTTGGCGGCTGTGACTGTGACTGCAACTTTTCTGATGAAAGACTTGGCACAGGACTTGGTTTGGAAACCACATTTTGAGAATGGTTTGCTGAAAGGGAATATGACTCGCCTTCTAATGTCTCACATTCTTCTGAAGCAGAGGAAGTGGTTTTAGATTTTGTTGAATCTGTGCTGTGTTTGAGTGAGGAAGATTCTGTCTCCATAGATCTTGAATTCTCTTGTGAGGAAGCATCTTTATCTGACGGCTCTATAGCCGCTACAGACACAGTGCTAACGCTACTTGTTGGTTGTTCGGTATTTGAATTTCGTACTTCCAGGTCCTTCAGTGACTCCATCACTGCTTCCATGAACATCTGAATAGCATGGACAAATCAAATGTAAGGAGGATACAGAATGCTCACCAGGTGTTAGATTATGTAGAAGTCATCAAGTCAACTCACTCTTTCCTCCTCCTCAGAAGTAGATGGAAAACCTGCAAGGTCATCCAGTTGATATTCAACGTATTGATCATCTTCCAATGCGGCTGGAACATGGGGTCCAAAAGGATCACCATTTGACAATTCAAAGCTAATCATTGATGATGGTGATGGAGAATGATCACTGCCCTTTTCCTGCTAAACAAAAAATTCATGAAAAATGTGAGACTCTAGTTATACTTTTTTGCTTATTGCTGTACTCTTTTGCTTATTTATTATTTCATCACCAGCACTAAAGGTAGATATGGGCATACATCACTTTTTACTTTTGCTTATTGTCATGGCATCATTACTTATTTAGAAACAGCAATTACTACTATTTTCATGACAAGACAGGAAACAAAAAGTGATTCTAATCACACCTTTTTTTGGTAGTTTGGATGCTTACTTAGTTACCACCAAACCCGTTTGGTGCTTGATAACTAAAGCCATACATGCATATATGGTTTACAGAAAAAAATTACGACGCATTTTTGAAGAATAAGGGAAAACGTTTCAATAATGTGAAAAGTAAAAAGTGAGTTGGAAATACCTCGTGTTCATGACGTTCATCTTTTGAAGAAATATCAGATGGAACCTAAGAAAAGTCATACAATATATTACTTTAAAAAATAAAAGCTATGCAAATTAAAGAATTTAAACAAGATCATCATATAGGTCAAACAGCCACATCTTTGATAGCCATGCGAAAGCCATTTGACATGTATGAATACATTGGATTTTAGCAAAACCGCACAAAACGCTCTCCTCTGATGTTAGCCAAATGCAATCATCTAAGTTTAATATCCGACTTGAGGATTCTTATGCAAAAATATATTTTAGGATCAGGATAATCTAATGCTAGTTAGGGAATGCCATGTTATGAGACAGAAGATACAATAATAAAATAAATGGTGGTGGACCCTACCATGCTATACTTGTTTTTGTCTTTCTTCTTCATAACGAGATCACCATCCTATTTTTTAATGGTTAAAAAAATTGTTTTTGTTCCTTACTCATTTTTAATTCAGTTCCTAGACACAAAAAATCAATTTATTTCCAATATGAACAATCATTTTAGTGACATATGTGAAAATAACACAGTTTTTGCCCAATGAAAATTGATGATAACATCCAGAGATAAAAATGTAAATTTCTGGTCTCTTTACATATTCATTTTCAATTTGAGCTGTAGACTTCACCTCGTTATTACTCCAACAAGTAGTAAATCAAAATTGAAAACAACAATATGCATAACACAAAAACTAAATTAAAAACCTGTTTCATTTAAGAAACTCTGTTCTATTGTTATATAGCTAGTCCCTAGCCTGGGTAAAGAAGGGTCTATGGTTTCATAGCCAGTCCCAAGCATCGGTAAAGGAGGAGGGTTGTGTTAGGCTCTCAACATCTAACGTAAAAATCATTGATATACCAAAGATGGATCACTCATAACTTTTTTAATATAAGAAAATAAAAAAAGAATACATGGATATGAACCAAAATTATATCCTAACCCTTTTCAAAATGCAGGGTACATTTCCTCAGCCAAACATATTTACATGCCATAATAACAGTAAATTAGAGTTGAGACAAACCTCCATTCTACTCATTGGTCGTCTTGAACGAACCTGCTCAATGGCATTTATCGTACTGCTTGCTGAAGGTTCTGCATCTAACAAAGAAGCATGTAAAAGGTTTGCAAAAATGGAAGGTACTAAGAGCTGATCCTCATACAAATCAATATAGCAGAAAAAATTAAGAGAATATAGGTACTTAAGTCATGCCTTTGTTTCTTGATGATGATTCAATGTTGTAGCCTAATTCATGCATAGATCTCCAAACATCCTGAGGGGAAAAAGCCAATTTTTAGAAGATGTACAAGATGGACTATTGAAATCCAAATAAAGTGGAACCAATGAGATGCATTGCTGATTTTACCTTACCAAAGTAATCATTCACAGGGTCAAAAAATGATTCCCCAACCTCATCTTCCGGAGGTTGCAAAACATTGTGAAAAAAAATGTTTATGGAATCAAAGTAAAACTGAGGACGTGGAGAATTGTGATCTCCCTCAAATTTAATTATGTTTTTGTCTCCCTACAAAGTGTGGACAGCAATATTAAAGATTAAAATAACAGGGATAAAACAAAAAGAAAATCCAATAGCATAGAATATATAGTATAATTAAAAGAATGGGTCAGTGTCTGCTTGGTTGAGATTATTATTGAACAAATAATCACATCTTTCAAGTCCTCCAAGGAAGCTGGCATAAGAGAACTCTAGACATACCATGTAAGCCTCAAATATCCGATCAGAGTGATGGGGCTGTATAAAATCATCCTCAATGGCATGCCCAAGTAAAGCTGGAACAAAACAAGATTTCGCCACCTGCAACATAAACAAATAATTAATTAATATGGAGAAGATAAAAATGAGTAAAACCAATAGGAATAAATTTGTATTGTTTTCTCCCCCGGATATTTTCAATAAGTTTTGCATACAATTCAGAATATTGATTTCTGAGCTTTTGAACGCCAGATATGCTCAAGAGGAAAACAAAACACTTGTCCACGTTATTTCTGTTAGTTTTGCATCATTATATGGACAAAAATTAGATCCTGAAAAAGCCTAGTACGTGCTTGGATTCCCTTTCAGGTGCTTCAAACAGAAATCCATACACACTCTAATGTTGCCAGTGATCCCACAAAGTAAGGGACACAAATTAGTAGTACTTAGCCAGTATAGGTATTCAATCAATTATACTGTGCGCTCTGCAAGTTCAGTCATTAGCACCCAAAAAATTGAGACATACTTTAAATTGGTTACGATTAGAATTATACAAATTAAAAAGTAAGAAGAACAAGAAGATGCACGACTGCTCCAATTATTACCAAAATAAATCCTTCAAATAAAATTTTCTGAACTATTTGGAACTATGTACTATTTGCATCGAACTACAACTTTCCTTAATTCACTAACAAAAGTTTCTCTCCACCTATGATCATAGCAATTGATCAATTTAATCTACAAAAAACTTAACCTGAAATTTTTAAGGCAATATATATTTATGAATTACTGACTAAGTTATGTATAAGCTTGGAGATTAATATAACTGACTGACTGATTGATAAGTGTATGCTACTGCCAGCAAAAGAAAATACTATATAATTTCTACAGATTGAAGAAAAAAAATATACCATTTGTTAACAAAGCACGGGTACAGTTGGTAATTTTAACTTGTATAGAAAAATGGTAAGAAAAAACAAAGCAGTAATAACTTACAACTTTTTTTGTCAAACTAACTAATCAATCATTTTATAAAATCAGGAAAGTGATACTGATTTCTTTCAATAAAAGGCTCCTCTATCATAAAATAAAAGTTAAATAAACAAAGGACAAACAACCTTAATGGTATTGAGGTCCGTTATATCAAATTTTGCCTTCTTTTGAATAGCTCTTCGCATGTACTGGATCGCAAACTTCACCTGTAACAAGAAAAATGAAACAAAATCCGCCTAAAAGTGAGTTATGGCTCTAAGAAGTTATATCACTGGTTTCTAAGTTTAAATATTTGGGATCAATATCACAAAATATAGGGTAATGCAAAGTAGGTAATTCAACCTCTTCTGTACAAAC